GGAGAAGGTTGGATTAAATAAATAAATAAATAAATCTTTTAAATTAATGCACATAAACCAACAAATCGAGTAACTTTATGAAAATGTGAGCAGTTCTGACTACTGCTGATTAATACAGCCCTCCCCAAACCAGTCCCCTCAAAATGTCTTGGATAGTAATACCCAGTGTTTCTAGCCAGCACAGCCACCAAGATCCATCTGGAGAAGGTTGGATTAATGCATCCAGGGGCAGCTTGTCCAATGTATCCTCTGTCTTACTATACCTTCCCTCATTCTCACCACTGGCCTTAACCACAGTGAGGTTTTATGTGGGCAGTATCACTAACAATGTTCAAACTAACCAAAATTTCCACTCCATCAGAATTCCCTATTACAATATAGTAGTGCCTAAATAACTTACATGATTTTTATTCTTCTGTTCATTTGTCATGATCAAACATAATACTCCCAATATAAGTCATGGACAAGATCAAAGGTGGGAAGGAAACAGGTTACACTTGAGAAAGGAATAGAAGCCACAGGTTGCTTACAGATTATCAGTGAGACATATATTTCACAGAAGTCTTGTGAAGGATTCCAAACAGACACACAATACTGAGAAAACATGGAGTTTTGAATGTACATAAATACTTGCGATGGAGTTTTACAGCAAATACATTTTATCTATACCTACTATACCTTTCAATAACAGACTCTATTAAGGGAAAAAAGTTTGGCATATGATATTAGCTGCTAGAATTAATCAGTAGCATTGACTGAAGCCAGTTGCAGCCAAAGTGGATTCTGCTGAAGAAAGGACAGTAAGCATTATCCTCATAATAACTTTCTTTAAAACAACTGCTCAAAGAACTGCTGGATAATTCAATGGTTTAGGCCACTGGTTCTTAACCTTGGGTTACTCAGGAGTTTTGGACTGCAGCTCCCAGAAGCCTTCACCACCAGCTGTGCTGACTGAGGTTTCTGGGAGTTGCAGTTCAAAAGCATCTGAGCAACAAAGGTTAAGAACCACTGGTTTAGGCATTTGGCTACAAAGCCAGAAGTTGGGACTTCAATTCTCCACTGTGCCTCCTTGACAGCGGCTGGACTTGATGTTCCTAAAGGTCTCTAAGATTCTTATTCTTATTTTTTCTGCAGGGTATTATGAAACATTTAGACTTCTGGGGAAAACAATCCCTGTAACTGTACCATATACACACCTCTATTTATCTTATATTTTCTATATAAATAATTCTATTCCATAACCGCAGGAAAAAATACAGTCTGCAAACATGTCAAACCATAGGCTTTGGAATGATAACCATGCTGCATAACGCAAGGCACAGTACGTATAAAACACACTACCCGTTCAGTTAAAATATCCTACTCTAACCAAAATTTTGTAATGAACACAATACCAGAGACAGCAGAACAATCTTCAAAATTCAGAAACTGTACGAACCTGACCCTAACTTAACATAGTCAGCATTAATAAAATGCATATAAAGAACTCAATGCAGGACTGAAAGGGGAAAACATATATTCAGAAATCACTTGTACTGAAGTCTTGTAAGTTGCTGACGGAAAAGACAGCATAAATAGAGGAAGAGAACTGAACTATTCATGCCAAGTTTTGAGAACATGAAACCTGAGCAAAAATTGGGGTTTGGGAAGGTACTTGCAGAAGACTTTTAGAAAGAAATACTGTACGTTTGACATTTCAATAAACAAGCTGATGCTTGGATACTTTGTCAAAAGGTCCATGTGAGATGTTTGGCGGCTGACTAACATACGGAGGAAATGGAGTCTCTTGAGCTTGAGTCAAAAACACAGATTTATTAACATTTAACAACAGGGTGTCAACCACAACTTCGGTGGGCATCAACATATCCCACTCAGGAAACTTCTTTTCTATAAGTCCATCAGGATTAACGTGGTAACTCTGCTTCAGAATGGGGGAGCCGGTCCAAACCGCTCCCTGTCGGTGGGCTTCACAATGGGGCGCTCCTTACCGCACAGATTGTCCTGCAACAGGGATGGCGTGCCGAATCCCCCTTGGGTGGTGGTTTGTTGAAGGTCTGGTCTGGGCAAACCACCTTCCTCCAGCAACCACATCCTCTCGGGAAGACCACCACCGTCCATTCCAATGTCTCTTGGATCACCACACCTTCAGGACTAGGCGTGGGATCAGGCAGCAGTCCTCCCACTCTCAGGTTTGGGAAGTCATCAGTAAGACTTTTCACTCTGCGCGCCTTTACTTCATCCTCTTCTTTCTCTCTCTTGCCCGTTGCTGCTTGAAACCCCCGCGCACATTCACCCTCCTTTATATTCTCCTCCCAAACATCCACCCATTGCTCCTCCCCTTTCTTTCCTCCCTTTCCAGACAGGCGCACTTCGGTTTTAACCCCTTCTAGCCCTTCTTCCTTCTTAGACTCTCTCTCCTTTCTTTCAGCCTCTTTGATGTCTATGTCTGCAGGAGGAGACAGCAAACTAGCTACCAGACTTTCACACATACGTCCTTAGATCTCAGAGATGTGAAAACAAAACTTGCTGAGGCCACTCTTACTGAAAATGAAAAACTTTACACATTCACACATTTATCACAGATATTAACAAGAGGGCATTTGAAGATGCCTTCTGCAATAATTTCATGGGAGGGTCCCCAGAATACACTGGAAGGGCATCACTAATAACAATGAGAAACATTATGAGTAGTGGCACGCATTTAAATTAAAATTGTACCTCAGAGATAATTGAAACTGACACAAAAAGTAGTAATTGCCAATTTACTGTCAGTTAGTCCATCCCTGGGCACTAGACTGAGAAAGCAGTTTCTTACAGAGTAACTGAGCAAAATGCTGCCAGCATATTTTCTTACATTTGTTTGTGAATGGCTAGAAGACTTTCAAATAAATGATGCAGAGCCAGGGAAGGGAACTGGAAAGACTTAAAATACCCTGAGAAAGCCAGGCCACAAACATTTCATACATATGACTCTGATCACGGCATTATAAATGACTGAAAAAAGAGGCTTACCTTACTTTCAAGACTATTTATCAGTATTACTGATACACAGAGATCAAGTGCGGAATAAGATGGACTAATTCCCAATGCTAGCACATTCTAGTAATCATGAACAAGGGAAACTTAATGAATGTAGACAAACATAGAACCAAATATATCTATACTGTACAAAATTACTTTGCTTCTATTTTAGAATTGCCATTTTAGATCTGCATGGGCCTACTTCAGAAGTGTCAGAAGCATTAATTTACTGGACTGCATTTTTATTGAATCTCATCTAAAAAACAGTGTTCAAGGTCGTCAACAAACATGACTAAAAATAAGTTAAATAATAGAACCATTAAAATCATCACAATAATCCATAAACATCCATTTAAAAGGCCAGATTGATGAAATGAACCTTTAAACCTTTCCTAATAGCAGCAAGAGTCAGAAATGACAGCAGTTCTGAGAGGAGCGCTTTCCACAATCTGACAACAACACAGGAGAGAAGCATCTCCTCTGTACCTACCAAGTGGGAGTTGATAGATATTTTATAGTATTGTATGATATAACTGGATATTTTGACATGAGATTTTAACATTCTTCCAGGTATGGGATAGAGCAGAAAAAAATTATTTCTAGGCAACAGGACTACCAGTGAAATTTATCGTAAGAACATGTGTCTCTTTCCACTCCAAGATCTGTATTGGCCAGTCTGATGAAGAGTCTTAAAGGAAGATGAAAGGTAAGGAGATGACAGCATAAAAGAAGTAAAACAGGAAAGCAAAAGAAGTTTTAGGATGGGTGGGATTGTCCAAAATTCTTATAGCTATTTCCTTTTCTCCAAAGCTTAAAGCAAGGGCAAAAGGTGAAGGAAGGAGTAAGGATGATTTTTTCACCTTCTTGTTAGGTCTTCAGTGCAGTAACGTAATGTACATTTATACCAATTTAAACACCCTCTCTTATTTAACTTTTTAAATTAAAAGCTAATTTAACTTGTTTTTTGAACTTATTAATTATTAATTTAATTACATTAAATTACATTAATTTTGTCATTCTGAAATTCTGTTCAAGAGGGTATACAGTGTGCTGGGATTTACACCCAGGCAGCTAGCATCTCACAATCATAGAATTATAGAATAATGAAGTTGGAAGGGGCCTATAAAGCCATGGAGTCCAATACTGTGCTAAATGCAGGAATCCAAATCAAAGAAGATCTGACAGATGGTTGTCCAATTTTCCCTTGAATGCCTCCAGTGTTCGAGGGCTCACCATCTCCCAAGGTAATAGGTTCCATTGTCACACTGCTCTGACAGTCAGGATTTTTTTTTCTGATATTCAGCTAAAATCTGGCTTCCTATAGCTTGAAGTTATTATTTCATGTCCTGCATTCTGGGATGATCAAGAACAAATCCTGTGGTTCCTGTCATGGCTGTACAGTTGACTGCACAATTCATGTTGAGACTTTTCTGCTATGATGTCTTATATCACCTTTGCAGGTTTGTGTTATGAACATGTAGCTGCAGAACAGGACTACTATTCAGGATACGGGCACAGCACCACACAAATTACATTCACATGGCTAGAAGACTTTTCTTCGACAGCTCACCCCCAATCCCATTAATGAAATAATGTAGTAAGATTGTAGGCTTGGAAAAAGAAGAGGGCCTTTGGTTTATCAGGCCAAGGTTCAGAACTGAGAAACAGCAACATGTATCCACCTTGATTTAACATAGGATACTGCTTACATTTCCATTTACTGTACAGAAAAATCCAAAAACATGCAGAAACCACAGAGCTACAGAACTTTTGGAAATAAATAGGAAATTCCTGTGAAGAGGACAACGTATGAGAAGAATATATTAGAACAAAATGCAATTTATTAAACCAAAGAACTTTTTGAAAAAAAAGTCAACAAGTTCCAGTTGCATAAATAAAAAGGGAAATATTAGGACAAAAAAACAGAAGGTGCTTGCTGTGCCAGAAGTTAAGTATGTTTGGTTAAAATGTTAGCCTACCTGTTGTTCATATCTTTTTTTAAGTTCTTCTAATTGTCGGGAGGATTCCTTCGACTGCTTTTCACGGAGTGATTTTGATCTGCTTAGATCTGCTTCCACTCTTTCCATCTACAATGTAAGAAAAAATATTTAACATATTAATTCAAAGGGATCATCAAGACTATCTAGCTGACAGTGAACACTTAAAATGCTAACACAAACACTATTTATTTGTTTCTTTAAATTTGCATACTGCAATTATTAGTGTCATAGCACTACTCTGGACGGTTTACAATAGAATAAACAATCAAAATGGAATAATATAATAAAAGGAATCTAACATTAATCATATAAAACAGAAGGCACCAGAGCAACAGTGAAACTAAACATAAAATAAAGAATAAAATAAACAACTGGACAAAGATGTGCTAAGGTTGGAGTGGAAAGCCTCCCTGAAGAGCCATGCCTTCTATTGCTTCTTGAATGTCAACAGGGAGGGGGCCAGGTGAAGCTCCTCCAGGAGCTGATTCCATATAGATGGAGCCACCACAAAGAAGGTCCTACCCCCTGTAGAAGATTTATGAACCTCCCTCAAAGTGGCTAGCCAGAGGAGCCTCACCTGAGATGATCTGGTGGGTTCAGCAGTTAACATTGGAAAGAGATGCACCGATAAGTAATGTGGGCCCAAAAGGTGGAGAGCTTTATATGTGAGAGTCAAAACAACCACCACCACCACATCATCATCATCATTCATCATCATCATCCATCAAATCAATTATGATACAACAACCTTTTTTCAGGGTTTTCCAGGTAGAGAATACTGAGAACTGATTTCCCATTCCCTCTTCTGGGGCTGCCCTAGGGACTCCGCTTGCAGGAGGCACAATGGGGAATCAAACTCTACATCTCTGGCTCAATAGACAGATACCTAAGCTACTGAGCTATAGGAGACTTAAATTGGTGTTAAAAGCTCATTGCTTTTGTACTTGATGTTCAATTTGCATCTGGTTTTGCAGCTGGTCATCTCATTCACTAAGCCAAAAAAAAATCTATATATATATTAGCATTTCTCCCAGTACAGCAGACATTCATTTTTTAATATTAGGCTGAGACAACATGATGCTCTCAGTCTATATGCAATACAACAGCAACAGCCATGAACCGCTAACTCACAATGTAAGTAACCCAAATATTAAATTTAATTCAATTGAATTTAATCCCATGATACATATCATAACATGGTGAGGAGATTTTACTTTGTCAGAGAAGCCAAAAGCAACGCCATGAGGAAGCTAGATTCCACTACAAGTTTGAAATTCTAGAAGGATCACCCAATGCAAATGGTCAACATTGAGATCCTAGACTAAGATGCATCCACCCGTCAGGAATAACTTTAGCAACAGCAAAAGATAAAGCATAGGACCCATGGTAATGGGAGGTGGGGGTGGCAAAATAGTGGACAGCAGCAGTAGTTGAAGATGTCATTGAAGGAGGATCTTTTACGGACAACAGTAGTGATGCTCAAACCAAATTTAGTTAATCATGTATAGCAGAAGGCAAAGGTAAACTTGAAAACACTATGATGAGACAATCCAAAACAAAACAAGAGATAGTGCTAGAAGATGAGACTCCCAGATTGGAAGGCATTGAATTAGCTATCAGCAAAGAGCAAAGGACTAGTACAAATACTTCTGTTTTTAATGGCACAACTATATTAAACTTGAAAGGACATCTAGTGGCCAACATGCACAGAAGTGAAAAGCAAGCCCAATGCTACATAACACAGTATGAAAGAAGTATGAAAAAGGTAAACTAGAATGCACCAAAAAGAAATGAAGCATTTAAACACTCAAGTAATTGGTGTGAGTGAACTGAAATTGGACATTTTCATTGTGACAACTACAAAGTCTTTTACTCTGGAAATGACAAAATCAAAAGAAACAGAGGGACTGTAATACTGAGGCAAAATGTAGCAGAGGCAGTTAGGGGTTATAATACAAGGTGTGACCGTATATTATCAATCAGACTGTTTGAAAAACCTATCAACACAACCACGATTCAAGTCTATGCGTCAAATACAGATACTGAAGAAGATGAAATTGAAAGCTTTTACACAAACATCCAGGAAGAAGCTGATCAGATACCAAAAGAAAACACAATGAAAATAATAGGTGACTAGAATGCAAAAGTAGGAAACAAAGCAGAACCAAATGTTGTTAGGAGAACCCAGTCAAGAGATTTTTAAAAAGCAGGAGAATGACTTATAGAATTCTGTGAAGCCAACAACCTACTTATTGCAAATACATTCTTCAAGCCACGAAAAAGGACTGTATGCATATATATCACCAAATGGTCAATGCAAAATTGGAAATAGCTCTATCCTCTCTGGCAAAACAATATCAGGAGGATTGTGACCATGAATGGTTAACATCAAAAAATTAGAACTAAGATGAAAAAGAACACCTAAAGAATCACAATGCCAAAATAGAATTTAAATTGCATTTCTGATTAATTTAAAGTCTATATAAAGAATAGAATTGCATTAATACACAATTGACCATGAACCAGAAGAACTGTGGATTGAAACCATAGATACTACTAGGAAACAATATAAAACTGTTCTTCTAGGTTTTTTTTAAAAGAAAAGCCTAGATGGATTATCAAAGAAAAATTAAAAAATTTTAAACAAGAAACAAAAGTTGAAAGTGGTCAGAATCCAGAATGCAACTTTTTAAGAGACAAAGAGAACTATTACAATGGCCAGTGCAAAGAAACGGAAGGGAATAGCAAATGAGAAAAAGCAAAAGCAAAGCAAAAAGGAAACTGTGCTTCTAATATACTGCCCCATAGTGCAGAAAGCACTCTGGGGGGGGGGTTGTTGTTTACAAGTTAATTATGTAGGCTACACATTGCCGCCCCCCCACCCCCGTGAACCAGGTACTTATTTCACCAACCTCAGAAGGACAGAAGGATGAGTGAACCTTGAGCCAGCTACCTGGGATTGAACCTGGGTCATTAGCAGAGTTTTGGCTGTAGTACAGCAGTTTAACCACTGCATCATGAGGCTCAAGATACTGTTTTTCTTCCAGAAGATCCAAGAAATCAAACAGAAAATTAAACCAAGATTAGGAATGCTAAAAGACAAAAAGGGGAACGTACCTTCTGATGAAAGTTTTAAAAAGGGAAGGTGAAAAGAATACACTGAAGAACTATCCAGAAGAAATAAAAGGGTAACAGATTCCTTGGAGGAGGAATGTTATGATGAAGAACCTACAACATTAAAAAGCGAAGTGGAAAAACTGCTCTCAAAACACTTAGAAGAAATAAATCACCAGGGACAGACAGATTACCAATAGAACAATGCCAGGCTGCAGACAGAATCTGTCAACATCCTAAAATGAGTATGCCAGCAATACAGAAAAAACAACAATGGCTCAGAGACTGAAAACTTTCACTATACATTCCAATCCCCAAGAAAGGAAATGCCAAAGAGTACAGTAAATATAGGCCCCTGTATATTGAATATGAACTGCTGGATGGCCCAGTGGTTTAGGCATCTGGCTGTGGAGACAAAGGTTGGGGGGGTTCAATTCCCTACTGCGCCTCCTTGACAGGGGCTCTTGAACAAACTTCAACAAAGGTGAAAGAAAGGAAGGAAGGAAAGAAAAGAAAAAAAAGAAATGAAAAGAAAAAAAAAGAACAGAACAGAACAGAACAGAACAGAAAAGTCATCTTATGGTAAGGGCTTTGCTTCAAAAAAAAAGAACAGAACAGAACAGAACAGTCATCTTATGGTAAGGGCTTTGCTTTAATCTCTGTGTACAACTTTTTTTTCTTAAACACTGGTGTAGCCTACAATGGTGGGAGGATGGCTATTACAGTGGACCCTCTACTTACGGAAATAATCCGTATTGGAACAGTGGCTGCAGGTCGAAAAGTCTGTAGGTCGATTCTCCATTGACCTACAATGCATTGAAAACCGATTAATCCGTAACCAGCCATTTTTGTTCCGTTTTCGTTCCATTTTAGTTTTTTTCTGGTCTGTAGGTCGATTCTCCGGCTGCAAGTCGAACCTAAATTTTGCAGCCAGAGAAGTCTGTAACTTGAAAAGTCTGTAAGTTGAGCCATCTGTAAGTCGAGGGTCCACTGTATCATACTGATTAAAACTGCAGAAATTCTCAAAACACAAGAATATTCTTTCCCTTAGTGACTGGCTATCTAAGAGGAGTATTAAAATCAGAATGATTAGTATTTTATTGTTTTTAATGTTTGATAATTGCAGTCATCATCATCATTTTTCATTATTCTGGCAGAGAAAACCATTGAATGAGACAAGGGAATATGGTGTTGGTTTTGCGGTCAGAAATACTCTTCTGAGCTCCACTGTTCCACCTACTGCGGGGAGTGAAAGAATCCTGTCTCTGCAGCTCCACTCATCAGCAGAACCGTTCACCCTCATTAGTGCATATGCATCAACACTGTCGTTCAATTGGTCCACAAATGCTACTGCCATTTAATGCCACATTGTTGTGAGAATGACTGACGGTCAGATTCCAAAAGACCTCCTGTATGAAGAATTAGTGCAGGGAAATCGCCCCAGAGGGAGACCACACCTGCGATACAAGGATATCTGCAAGCAGGATTTGAATGGACCTCAATAAATGGGAAGTATTGACATCTGAGCGTTCAGCCTGGAGGCAGGCAGTGTATCATGGCCTCTCCCATTTTGAAGAGACCCTTGTCCAGTAGGCCTTGTCAAAGAGGCAGCCCCAAAACCAGCAAAATCAGGGAACTGGACAGGGGACAGATTGTATTTGTATTCAGTGTGGAAGGAATTGTCACTCTTGAATTCGCCTTCTCAGCCACACAAGACACTGTTCCAAGTCCTCTATTCAGAGCACGTTACCATAGTCTCTCGAGACTGAAGGATGTCTAATCTGAATCTGAGAAAGACAGGGTAAAAATACTTTAAATAAATAATATAAAAAATGCCAGATAATTGCTGTCAGAATTGGAACCAGTGGTGGCAATCCAGCAGCATGTTTTTAACTATTAAAAGTTCCCAAAGGCTTCCTCATGTTTAAAGGGAGCTTTAGGAAGTTTCAGAACCTGAAAAGGGAGCAGGGAAAGAGGAAAGTCTGCATGAGTTTAAATTAAATGCTTCCAGACCAATCCAGATTACAATAATGCAAAGTTACAAAAACAATATGTTGCTCACTGTGTCATTATGACATGTGGATATCATGTTTGAAATGTACTGCAGATATTGAAATGATTCTTAATTATTTGTGTGCACTGCTTCCACTGTTTGTTCACCATGGATACTGTGAACACCTAGAAAATAATTACTTTTTTGAGAGGAGGCATATAAACAAGCGTGCAGGGTCATCTAGTTGAGAACTTTGCACAGAAGGGTTTCTCTGGAGACCCTCAAATTCATGTATGAGATTATTATAATCCCACCAAACACAGACATAAATTAGTTGCTTTGTCTCAAATGTCTTAGCTCTTCTAGCCTAGAAAATATCATGTTGGAAAATAATTGCTATAGTGTATATTGAGGTACAGAATCAGAAGATTGGAGGGGCTGGTCAGAGGCTGGGAAAGAACTCCCCTGCCTCAATTTTTTGCACTATGGTGAGAACCAGTCCCTGCTCCTTAAGGGGTTGTGGGAGGGGAGCATCTATCTTTCCCCTATCTGGACCCTTGCAGATATTGGCCACACCAATCAGCTGAGCCACATGCAGGAAGGGCCCCCACCAACCCAGAAAAGGTGCCTAAGGTAGAAGCAGAAGCAGCTACTTGCACTTGTCTGGGAGTGAGATGAGCAGTTCCAGCAGGAGGACCTGACAATGTTAGCCCTCATCAAGGGTACTTTAAATGTGATCCAAGCTCTCGTCTTTGAACAATAGAGGGCTGGTGGCTACAGCTCAGCCCAAGGCACAGACACTGAGGGCCTAGGGAGAGAAACTAAGTCCCTCTGTCAACTTCAGGGATAAAGGCAAAGATGCTTGATCTGACAGTGTAGCCCTGCCATAATAAAGACAAGTGACTTATCTGAGTGTCCAGAGCATATGGTCAGGAAAACCCACCTAGCCACCCTTGGCAGTGGTGGTGATGATCACACTTCACATGATTCAATTAAATGCAAGTGGCTTCACTAATGAAATGAAAGGTATGCTATTTTCAGAGTTTTCAGAGAGGTAGCCATGTTAGTCTGTTTCACTTTAAGCCTTCTGTTTGGAAATGGACTGTGTTCAGAAAATGTTACACTAAAACAAATTTGTCAGTCTTAAAAGTGCTGCCATATTTTTGTTTTGCTTTTGCATTTACTGTTGCTATTATGTCACATACTACAAAAAACAACGACATTACCGTTGTAGACCCAAAGGAAATTGCTCCCTCCTTTTTTTTAATGAAAGAGAGAGAAATGTGAAAAATGGGAGATGAGATGCAATTCAACATACTGTCCAAACTTTTATTTTAGTCGTATGCTCCTGAAAAAGCCCTATTCAGTAATACAGCTATAGATAGTTTCATAACAATGACAAGTCTGGCTTTGTTATAAAGATGAATCAACTGCTAGCATCCTTTTTTTACTGACTCGCTGGCAAAGCCACTACATTGTGACAGAGTTTGATGTACCACTATCAAGTGAAGTGTGTTCCTGGCAATCTAAGATGAGAATATGCTATCCCACTGAGAGAGAGAGTTTCAGAAAGGCTGGCATTGTGACCTCCTCACCTGCTCTTTCATTTCAGCATAGACTTTTTCTGAGTTCAGCTCCACCTGCCGCTTAAACTTCTCCAGGGCAGCGTCAGCCTGCTGGGCTTGCAGCCTCTGTACCTCCGTCACCTGAGTCAGCTGCTCCTCCTTCTCCCTAGAATGTCAGAGAAATTCCTCACAGTACAAGTATGAAATAAAAGAACATGTGTGCTGATGTAAAAGAAAGGCCTTTAACCCTCACCATTGAAAACAGTATTCCATTTTCAATTTCCTGTCCATAGTTATGCCAAACTTCTCTTAGTAATACTTTGAAGATGAGAATAACAACTCAGATGATAAATCAGGCACTTTTTGAACTCTCTTATTGAACTGGAAGAACCTAAACACAAGACTGGGTTCTTATTAAAGTTACCCCAATTTCAAAGTCTTCGGTTAGGACAAGACAAGGAAGCTTAAATAGTACTGCTTTATTGTGCCACATAATCTTCCTTTAACTAACGTTAATACATCATCCAAAGATATTTAATCAAAAAATGTTTTGCAGTAGGCACCTCCCCCACATAATCTCTTCTAAGATAGAAAGAGGATTATATTCTGCCTGGTATACGTCAGATTATTAAGTATGGAAAACATGACAAGCATTGGATTTTCTCAAGGCAATGTAGTTAGTGGAAACCCTTAATGCACAGTTATGATATTAATTCAACATTTCCATGGGTGACACAACTTATGCTTCAAAAATGTATAATTATGCCAAATCAATGTCAAGGAGCTAATGTTAAAAGGCTGAAATGCAGGTATCAGGAATATTTAAAACTAACATATCACAAATGACAATAATATTGTTATTTCAAACTTTTGTCCTGGGCCTGTTTTCTTAACAGATTTTGACCGATGGATATTCCAGCAGTTGGCAAGTACTTACCAATCAATCCATTGGTTCCTTTTAAGTGGCCAAAAGAGTACCACCCACGCAAGGAGGTACTCAACAGGTTTGGAGGAAACCACATGGTTCACAGAAGTATAAACATTCCTTAGAAAAATCTCCACAAAAATTGGCTAATGAGAACTAAACACATCATGAAAGACTGACTGTTGGAGAAAAGGAAAACTGAGTGGAAGAGAAAATGGGATAGAGTACCCTTGAGGATGAAACAGCTGGGAAACTGGAACACTGAACAAGACACAGAAACTTATCACCCTGCCATATTTTGCCACAATGAAGTCCTTAATGACAAAAAAAAAACCTCAACTTCTGCTGCTGATGTTATTACCCTTCTGCAGATGTAATACACACAAAAGGGTTTAGGCCAGTAGAATTTACATCTACATACGAGAGGATGCTGATAAGCATTGAGCCTTTCCCAGAAAAAATTGAGCTAGGAAGGTGTAACTGCCACACTGTTCTACATATTCCCCCCTCCGGAAGTCAATGCACTTGCGACATCTGTCCTGCAGTTTCTTAAGTCCCTGCAAATAAAATTCTTCTGACTGCTGGTGTAACCACTCATTTGCAGCATTAGTTGCCTCCAGAACACTCCCAAATCGTTGCCCCTTTAGGTGTTTTTGGAGTTTGGGGAACAGATAATAGTCATTAGGATCCAGGTCAGGAGAATAGAGTGGATGGGGCATCGCTTGAAAGCCTAAGGAGGTCAGTTTTGCCATTGCTTCATCTGCAGTGTGTGACAAGGTGTTGTCATGCAACAGGATGACCCCTTTGGAGAGATTTCCTCGATGTTTTTCTTTGATGTTTTGCCTCAGCTTCATCAATAAGCACAGTAATATTTTGCATTGATGGTTGAACCCTGCTGGAGGTAGTCCACTAGCAGAACTCCCTTCTTATCCCAAAAAACTGTTGCCATTTGCTTCTGCACCAACCTTTGAACTCGGAACTTCTTTGGCCTAGGGGAACCACTCTGCCTCCATTCCTTAGACTGTTCCTTTGTCTCAGGATCATAACAGTAGATCCATGTCTCATCACCAGTTACCAGCTTGACTGGGAAATCTGACTCATTTCTTGCAAAATGTTCCAAAACAGCCACCCATGACTTCACACATTTCCTCTTTTGTTCGGTTGTCAAAAGTTTGGGGATCCACTTTGTTCCCAGCTTTCTCATTTCCAAGTCGTTGTGGATAATGGCACCAACTCTCTCACATGATATTCTCAGATATATAGCAGTACTTTTGGCTGATATTCGGTGGTCCTCCATGATCATGTCATGGATGGCTTTCACATTTGCAGGACCAGAGACAGAAACAGGCCTTCTACTGGATTTCTCACTTTCAACACTGAAATGGCCACTTTTAAAATTGACAACTCAACGTTTAACTGTTGCATATGAAGGGCCACTGTCACCCATAGTTTGTGACATTTCATCATGGATCTGCTTTGCACCTTTCCTTTGGAGAAACAGGAACTTGATAATGGTCCTATGGTCTTCCACACTGAACTTTTCTGGAGGTGCTGCCATGTTCACTTTGGACCTGAACATGAAAGATGTTAAAATCATAGGTAGCTGATTTTGGCACCATTGAATACAGACAAATTGGCCAATACACCCTGCAATTTATAGCTTCCTAGCTCAATTTTTTTTTCTGGGAAAGGCTCAATATCAGCAACCCCTTGTAGATACATATATGAGAAACAACAAAGAGTCTTGTCTTACCTTAAGGACTAAATTTGTTCTGATAGAAGTATACAGATAAAGAAGTGGGCTACAACCCACAAATACAATTTGCTATACATTATGGTACCACAAGCCTCTCTTCTCTTCCCCCCCCAATCAAACTAATATGGCTATTCCTTTGGAAACATATGACTGAAGTTTTAACTACTAAACATGAAAAATACAACCTTTTCTATATAAGATTTATGCAGTTTTCTTCTTCAGTTTACCTATGCCCTGTTTTGAAAAACATTTGCTCAGCAAATTCCTTCTACCCCAAAAAGGATAAAAATGAAAGATTGAAAGATGCCTCTCACAAAACCCTGTGGCTTGCAGATGACATACAAAAACTGATTTACCAAAAACGTACCTTTAAATTACTCTTGGAAAATGAAGCACAACAAACTTCATTATATTTTTCCTGATTCAGGCAAAATATATTGCATTATTCGGCTAGGCTGACTTCCTCTACCTAATACATATTTTAAAATTAACTCCAGCATGAAGAATGTAAAGGCTACACTGTTATTCTCTGATTTCCACTGCCCAATGAGTCTGTGTGCCCCAACAAGATGAATGCAGGTTTGAATTTATAGTGGGGACACTGCCTTAAATGGAGGGCCACAGGTTTCTAACTTTCCAACTCTACAGTAAATGACATCCAATACTAATATTACCTTATGAGAAACTCAGATCTTTGTTCACAGTAACCCTCTATACTTCCCATAGCATGTTCTGTAACAAAGACTCAAGATCCAGCTGCCCTTGCTTTTCCTTTTTCCTCATCTCACTTTTCTTTTCATCTGACTCATAAAGAGTTGAAAGCTTGCTCATTGTTTGTTCTTTTCCATACATTTTGTGTGTTTTTGGGTTTTTTTGATAAAGGTATCACCTCATATATATTTTGGAACATCTCATCTTCTAATAGTCCTTAATGTCAACAAATAGTCACTCCATTGTACTCCAAGCATTAACAAAGAGAAATTGCTAAAAACTGAAACTCAAAAGACATAAGAACAGCACTTCAGAAATTACCTTCCATGCATTTTTCCAAATATGTAAATGAAGAAAATGAAGATAAAATGTACTGAAATCCACCTGCTCTTCAGTAACCTTAATATTATAAATTCAGATTATTTTCAAAGATTAATCCCTTCAATAGATGTCCTAACCAGGATCTATTTCCATTTATTTCTCTGGTTGCAGAAGCCAGCACAGTTTGGTTTTCATACATTTGAAGCAATAAATTCTGACTCACAAACATAAGAACAGCTTAATTTGTTTCCTCCAGGATACTGAGAAGTATCACTTCCATGAAGAATTAAAATATTCACTTTGAAGATTTGTTTTCCCCTGTAGTACTCACTGTGGGGCCCAATACAATACGCTTATGTTGCTCAAATCCCTAAAGCTGAGCCAACATGAATATTAAAAGCATGAATTTACTCTTTGGCCCCAATTTATTTACAAAAAAGCCAATTTCTCTCATGTCAGTGTATAAGGGATACGGTTACAGAATTAACAGTATTAGAGAAATCATTTCCATTTAAAGACAGTTATGACGTCCAATAATAGTTTCAGGAAGCAAATAAAGTGATATATTTATTTGATAGTTCTTTTAAGAGTTCAGTTAATTACTTTCTACCTTTTTCTCTCCAAAGATGAGGAGCAGGTGGACAACTGAAGCAGCTGGATTAATGTCATGTAATGCTCAACCTACATGGGAGACAAGTTGCATGGAATTAAGCCATTAGCCCGAAGTCATAAAAGAGAGTTGGATAAGAAGAAAGCAGTGGGAAGGCCAAAAGGAATAGAGGACAGAAGAAGCAAGCAGTTCACTTGAGGAAAGGGAGGGCAGAGCCAGTGTGCATGACGCAAAAGGGTGGGAACCCTCTACAGATGGTTGGTCCGTTGTATTTCTGGACAGTACTATCTATATTTTCACCAACATTCTGCTGGGCAAGTGGGAAAGGAGAGACAGAGAACATAAGTGGTGATCTTGTCCATTTTTGGTTATGATCCCACCTACTTCTGGCTGCCCACCCAACCCACCACCAGCATGTCACAAACAGATTACCCCCAAGTAATCATAACCAATGGAAAAAAAGCTCCTAAATTTTAGTATAAAAGAACAAAGTATTTATTATACCTATTATACCATAATATTCAGTATATCTGTTTAAGTGAAATTGTAGCAGTTTAAGTCTGCGCCCAAAGACTACTTACCAATGGTATGACTGGGGGTGCCATAGGGTTCTGTCCTAGGCCCACCATTGGTTAATATTTCTATAAATTAACTTGGATGAGGGCATGGAAGGGATGCTTATTTAATCTGCAGATAACACCAAATTTATGCCCCACCCTCCCCGTATAAGTACCTTGGCTCCAAGTCTCTCTCCTCTAGTCAACTACAGGTGAGGGCATGACAGAAAGGGCAGGCTGGGCAGGATGCGTGATTTCACAGAGGACCACTCAAAGAACCACCGTT